GCTTGCTATTTATCGACAGCTCACTCATGAGATTTGTATCTTTCACTCTGTGTGCTTTTTGCTTTGCAGATAATGACAGTTTTGGTGGAGAGAGGATAGGAGCTGGGATATATTTTACTAGAGTATAGCCAGCTCACTAATTCACGCTGTACAGAAGCCACAAAGGGGGAAAAATACACCTTGTCTCACTGATGAAGTAAATGGATTAAGGTAGACAGCAGCATATGGCCAGGTTGCTCTGAGAGGTAAGTTGCAGAGGCCAGTGCTCTTCCTGCCTTTGAGCCCCCCTGTCCCTCAGATGAAACTGGTTATCAGTTAGCCTATGTGGAAAGAAATGTTTCCATGGCCCATGCCAAGATATCTCCTTTATTTCTTCATGTGAACAGCATTTCCTCTGCAAAGGACTGCCAAGTAACAAGCTGTGTATGAATGAGTCTTTAGGGGTATGGGCTGTTCCCCTCCAGGGACAGCCCCGTGAGTGTATTGCGCTACTAGGATGAGACATTTGTGGATTTTCAGTTTTATGTCATGCACTTTGTGCTTATGTGTTTCTCTCCTTGCTTTCCAAAAAAACCCAAGATTTAAGGGTAAATAGATCTTTGTTTTATGGTGGTGCAGTGAGTTGCTAACCTCATTATGTGAATGAGTTTGGTTTCTATTCACAGATGTGCAATTTTTTACTGCCTGTCTCAACTTAATCAGTTTTTGTCCCAGCAAGTAAATAAGCACTGAAACGAGTAATGGGGTGAGTGAAGGTACAAATAGAAAAATATCTAGTACAAAGTTTTAAAAGAATTCTAAAAAAACCTATCCACAGAGTAAGATGTGCAAGAAGAGGCAAGCTGGTCTTTTCCTATGCCCAGCCATAAGATGGAGAACCTGTTGAGTGCCATGGGTTAGGATCTGGGCAGGCACTGCTGTGACCTGGCAGTTCCCTTTCAGCACTTAAATTTATTTGGAAATCTTTTCCTTTTGCTTTAAAGAGGAGTGGGCATAGTCACACAGGTAAGATATACCTGCATTAGGGGTTTAGGTGACAAGAAGTGTCCTTGAATTTTTTGGATCTGAAAAGGAAAACCTCTAAAAGAATGTTTCAAATCCCCCTTTTTAGTTCTCTCAAAGTTGAATTCTCCCCTTTTAAATGGGACATGGGTCTTTTTTTCTTCCTCTTTTCTATCATTTAAAAATTACTTTATGTGCGCATTCTAATGCATTTTAGAGTTTTTATAAGACAAATTTGCCAGCTGTCAGCTTCCAACTGCACTAAGCTTTCTGTGATTTGAGCACATATTCAGGCAATGGTAACTTTACATCTAATAGTTAACAACAGGTTTTACATAAACAGAAAATATAATTTTCAGAGACTTAATGCACCAAAAGCTAACCAGCTCTCCATAACATTGCACCCTTTTTTCAGAACCTTGTTTTATATTTTGCATAACATTTAAAGGAGGGGGAAAGGGGGAAGCCCTGTAATTAAGATAGTTAAATTTAATGCTCCAATAACAAAAAACTGAACATTTTCTTGTTTGCAAAAAGTCACCAGTCAGATTATATGACCCTTACTTATGTAGGAATTTATGAGAGTGAGTATAGCATCACCATCACATTGCAGAGTCCAAGTACACTTGTAGGCAGGCTCTCTACTAGTGGAGGATGTAGATAGGCATCTCCTTTCCTGCCTCTTCCCATTCGCTCGTCCTCACGCTGCACACATACAAGACTTGTAATGTCTTTCCATTTTCAATGTACATTTTTCTCATTGCCTTTCTCCCTACCTTCCATGCACTGTGTGGTCATCAACATCAGTTTGGGCTCATAAAGTTAATAACTTTAACACTAGTCCAGAGGACCGGCCCACCCACAAACACTTCAATAGAAATGCCTACTCTCAGGCTTAAATTTAAGCAAGTGACTACAGGAAAAAGCTGCAGTGTTCAGATCCCAGCCTGTATTTGAACAACAAAAAAACTTCACAAACTTTCAATAGATTATCAGACTCCTTGAATCCTTTGACTCCCACCGTTTTTTTCAGATAATTTTTAAAAAGTTTAAAAATGTGTTCCCTTCCAGTAGTCAATGCATGACAGCTGAAAGCAAGTGGTCTAAAATTTGGCCAGGCTGGAGAATGTCAAAATGCGGCTCAGCGGGGTGGTATGGGTGCAGCCTTTGCTACCAGTCCCATAATAAGCTGAACAGGTTCCATCATCATGTCCTGTATATTTGGCTTAATTGGCCTGGTCTCTCCAAGGAAAGGCAGCAGCATTGATTTACTGCACTGTATAAATGTGTTTATAGCTTGGCACTAGCACACTTAGGCCCACTTTTTTCCAACGTGGATTTCAAATAAGCCCTTTGCTCAAATGAGTCTATTAACTTTAAAGTGCCTAAAGCTAAAACTGAATTATGAGAGGAAAGCTTTGGGGGTTGCCAGCTGGGAAAGGCTTCTGGAGTCTTCCCTTAGTACCTGTTGTGATGGATATTTAAGCATCACTAGTGGAAAAATAATTAAATAAGAAAAAATTAAACCTAGCAGCACACATCATCTCAGCCTGAGCTGCCTTTTACTTCAGCTGGCACTCAGACTCATCTCATTCCACAGGATTATTACAGCAGCTTCTGATTTAAACCAATGTGAAATCGGAATATAACCCATTCCTTCCTCTTCTTATGAATTTCATTTCAAATAATCACATTTCCCCATTTCTGTACTGGGGCACAATAGACAGGGGAGAAGGTGATCTAACCATGGTCCCTCCTGCAGTGTATTTCATGGGTTTGTTTTGGTCTCCAGTGTTGTAAAGAGCTGGGATGTGGTCCCCTCTTCTCCTGCAGCCTGGGGGATTGCACAGAGCTGTTCTCAGAGCCTGACAATGCCACCCTGTGTGCTGCTGGAGGGGCTGTGCCTCTGCTCTCGGTCTGTGCTTGACACTTTCATGTGTAACAGCAATTATCATCCCTGCAGGAACAGTTAATCAAGCAGAAAGTTTTAGTAGACCCCTAAGTACAATCCGTAATTACCTATACCTGCTCAAGATTAGGTCTCTCCAGCTAAGAAATAATAGAAATTTCTAGTTGCTAAAAGTTTGATTTTTATCTGGAATAAAAAAGGAACACCTTAATACCCATGGAGAAAAAAAAAATAAAAAATTTGTAGAGAACAGAAGTAAAAAAAGATTTGTAGAGAACAGAATTAAATTAAGGAAAGTAAAAACTAGGTTGAACATCAGGGGTAAAAAAAGCCATAGTAATAGCTACTAAACCGAGGAATGTTCTCCCAAGGAAAGTGAGTGATGGAGTCCCACTGTGTGAAGAATTAAAACAGCAACAGGCAAAGCCTCAGGAAAGAAATGCCCGAGGAGGCAGCATGGACTGGCTGTACAGAGAGCTGTGCCACCAGCTTCTGCTCAGCCAACTGCAATTTAGCAAGTGCATTGTATGTGGGAAGGCACACTGAACGTATACTTGTCCTGCATTAAAATCTATGCATATTTCTCAGGTAGGTATGATCTGCATAGCTTGAAATCCTGCCTCCATTTAAGCTACCATTAGCTTTTTTTTTTTTTTTACAGGCTAATTGAACAGCAAGCCATCAGAGGACACCAGTGACTCTGGCTGATATTTTTCTGTCCAATCATCAGCACAAAATCCCTTAAAAATTCTTCAGACTTACAAACACGTGTCCTAGGCTGAGCAATACAGGCCTGATTTATCTTATAATGCTAGGGAAAACTGCACTTGGAAAACTCTAGCATCTGAATTCATGAAAATATTTACTTTATAGCCAGCTAGGCTATATGGGATTCAAGGTCTCAGTGTTTTCGAGCCTTGCCAGGTGCAGGGATGAGGAGGAGCAAGGCCTGGGCATTTGACCCAGGCTGGCCAACAGGATTATTTCATACCATGAATGTCACATTCAATATAAACTAGGAAAGTCTGCTGCGTAGGTCTCTCTCCCTTGATGGCAACAGTCCAGAGAACTCCTTGCCCCAGTGTCAGAGCCGTAGTGCTCCCAGTGCCTGACATTTGTTGTCCACTGCTGAGAGTGCACAGCTTCCTGCTGATAGAATGGGGTAAGCATAATTCTTGTATATCTTATATTAGTATCGGGATTAATACTGGTTCTTGATTATCATTGTTAATTATTTAGTCTTATCCTATTAAATCTATTTATATTTCAACTCTCATATTTTCTTGTGTTCCCCAATTCTGCTTTCTGGGTGGGGAGGAGTCATCAGGTGATAGAATAATTGTCTAAATGACAATAAATTGTTACGGGTTTTCTCAAATCATAACAACATGATTTTTCAGAGCATTGCTGTGAGTTAAAACGTGGTTATTACTGGATATTTCTGCTTTAAAAAAAAAATATCACTTTTTGCTTTTACAATTATCCCTAGTATTCAGCTGTAATTTGTAGAGGTAGGAAACAAGACACAAACCAAAAGCATTTCTCTCACTTGCTGCAGGAAGAGAAAAATACAACTGGACTTGGTACAGAATAAGAACTAGATGCATTTCTTTGTTATGCTTTATTTTGTTTTTTTTCCCAGGGAGCTTGTCCACAGTTCCTGGTGGATAATGAGGAAGGATCTCCTGATCTGTAGCTACCTGAGGAATCCCTGTTCTAGAGGAAATCTGAGCACAATGCTATCACAAGTTATAGGCCAGGCTGTGGAAGCATGGCAGCTCTGGCATTTGGGAACTGCTCCCTTTCCAGTCTGCCATCTATTACAAAATGATGCCTGCTGATTACTTTTTGTGCTAGTGAAATGTTTATGTGATGACTGGAAAAAAACCCTGTTACCAAGGTCAGTATGTGATGTCCCATTATCTATGGAGATTAGCTGGCATTGCCTTGTTTCTGGATGACAGCCACGTGAAAGAGCTGCAAACATTATGAAGGGACACAATTTTTAATGAAAAATTATGTGCTAGTATTCCATGATAATACAAATTGTACTTGCAAATTTTTGCAGAGTACCTAAATTTAGGAAACGATGTTTTTGCTGCAGTATTTCTTGGACCTGCTGTCATTAGTAAATACTGGATTGCATAGAGAGTCATTCAGATTTAAGGCATTGGGATCAGATGAGAGAAAATTCACTGAACCTGTTTCATGTAACACTCAGACACCCCACTCCCGACTCTCTCTACAGAGATATTTTACCATCCAAAACAAAGGTGCAGAGATGTGCTAGTCATGACCCATTGAGCTGTTCTCTGGAGATTTTTGTGTCTGCATAACAGAAGAAAGGAGCAGAGACGCTGAGAGTGAGGAAATAGTCCAAACAGACTGGAGACGGAGCAAGTGTGGGAAGCTGAGGGGGAGAGGGCTGGTTGGGCTGAATCCTGGCTGAACCTGACCTACAGTTGTGTGAACGAAACCATCTCCTGCAGCTTGACTCCTCCTGGGCCTGGGGAACAGGACCTTTGTAGGTAAGCAGGATTGCTTCAAGACACATGGTAAGAATAACAATTTTTCTTTATAAGGCAGAATACATGGAGACCCTGGATTTTGTCCAACCACTTAGAGGCATTCACATTCACCCGTCTCTTGCTCCCTGACACCAGCCATGAGACGGTGCTGATGGACTCTTTTCAAAGTCTAGCGGTTTGGGTATGTTCAGGAAAAAGTGCCTACAGCCACTCACCAGATATGCTGGAGGGCTCAAAAAATAGACATGGGAAAAGCAATGGCCATAGCTACTGTCCTGACTCTTCTGTAGATGTTGGCTTTTCCGTTTTTTCAGGTGAGACTACTGCCACTTCACAGTGTGCTTTATTTACTGGAATGAATCATAGAATGGTTTGGGTGGGATGGGACCTTAAAGATCATTGAGTTCCAACTCCCCTACCATGGGCAGGGACACCGCCCCCTAGACCAGGTTGCTCAAAGCCCCATCCAGCCTGGCCTTGAATAAGTTTGGTGCCATTTATATTTCTTTTCTATATATTTATGTTCATTACTTGTGTATTTTAGAAAGCTTATCCACTATGATTTTTGCTCTTACTTGACTGGCCCCACTTGCACAGTAACTCTCTTCCAATATTTCCCATCTTGATTCAGAGTGGGCATCTGATGAGCCAGAAGCTAGGGCTCTACATGAGGTGGGAGACCCAAGATGTTATTAGAGCTCTGCACCAAGGTAAGGTCCTCTTTCAGCCCCACATCCTTTTATAGTTGAAGAGATAATAATAGAGATTGGCCTCTTGTATTTAAAAGGGCTCAGGACACTCAGCTGGAAGGTGGTATTGCTTTCTGCAGTGTATCTATCTGTGTCCCCTCTCTCTTTCTCTGGTGTATCCATTGCCTTGTTATTAAAGAGTTTTCATTGCAAAGAAGTGGGGTTCATTTTGGTTTTAAGATCAGAATGATATTTTTTTAAGTTTATCACAAAAACAGTCAATCACTTATATATGTTATCTCTTGCTCCAAAAGAAGAAATGCTGTCTGCTGCAATTCACAAACTATTAACTAAAACTGTAGGCGGACTTTGGAGATACAGCAACCACCTGTAATTAACAGAAAAATCTGTCCTGCTCAGCCAAATTGCTTCAGGAGAATACAAATGCAAAATGTTGTGACCTTTGTGAAGTTAGGGCCTCCTGGTAGCAGGCAGTATTTCTTCATTTGTGGGAAATCAAGGCAATATTTCAGCAAAGCAGGGACTCAAATCACAGCAGCTCCCTGCTATGCACAGGTTCACCAGAGATGTCTGAGCCAGCCAGAATGTGCATCATCAGCCTGGGACACGAGATGAATAGTTGTGATGGAAGCTGAATCTTTCATTTGCTCTTTATATTTTCTGCCTTTTCTTTGGGTTTGTTTTCCTCTCTTTTCTTCCTTTGCAATTGTCAAAGAAGCATCTGTGAGTTTTATTAAACAAATGTTACACATTAAGACCCCATTGCTGCCTGCCAGAAAGGAAAATGGCATCTTATTTGAAAACAATATGTAATTGTTATTGCTGTCTTGTTGCAAGTTACGCCCTTGAAAAATGATAGGGACTTATTTAGTAGCAACTGATGCTGAGGAAAGGCATTATAACTAAAGCAGAAAATTAACTGTTGCATTATCTTTGGAAAAGAAATAGTCCTCTAATTGCTAAAGCAGGAAGGAGGGTCTAACAAATTTTCCTTTAACCAGACTTCTAACGTAGAAGTCCACATAGAAATTGTACCTTACATATCCATATGAAATTTGTCTTCTGAGGTATGTATTCATTCTTCTAATATAATTTTTTCAGATTACTGATTTGCAAAGTGCAAACTCAGTATTCTCCATTTGACCTCAGGAAATATTGAAATATGCTTTAATGTAGAGGAAAAGATTTTGACTAATTTTAAAAAGGTAAATACAGTCAGAAGCCTGTTTGCCCGACTCATCTTGCCAGTCCTGCGCAAGGAGCAGTGAGTAGTGATGCTGGATATTTTTTTCCCAAAGCGGGGTGCTGGATGTGAGCTGTGAGTAACAGCCCAGTGGGGTCATTTGAATAATTATTAAACAGCGAATTGGCACAGTAATGCTTACCGAGATTTCAACACTAAATGATTTGGCCAAGCCAAATTTCAAGAGTCTGGAAGCCAAGTTCTTAGGCTTGAAAAGAGGCTAATACATCCATCATTTATAAAAGGTGGCTGTGAAGAATTTGTCCATGCCCTCCCACTGGTGAGAAATTTCCATACACGCTGTATAGCAGTCGTTATACCACATAGACTGTAACTGAAACGAGTGGCGGAGCTTGTCTTCATTAAGACTGATCTACCGTTAATAGAATATAAATATGACGGAGCATAATGGCTTAAATCCCTGACAGCCTCAGGTTTGCCAGTGGATTTCCATGCATTTTCAGCCAGGAATTGGGACTGTTGGCTGAGCAAAGAGCGGTTAACACGCCACAGCCGGTGCCTCAAGATTTCCTGTGCACACATGCGCAGAGGAGCAACGGTTGGGAAAAAAGCTTCATTTTCCACCTTCCTCGAGACACTGGTGGAAAAGGAATTCTGCCTGATGTACTTGGGGTGTCAAGCACTTTGCAGAGGTCCCATAAAGGCACCTCATCACCTTTGCCGTAACACCTCATAGCCCCTTGTTAGCTCTTCTCTTTTTATGGTCCTGTAGGTAAACGGGTTCATCTTATTGAAATATCCCTGAGGCTACTAGCAAGAAACTATTGAACTGAACAAGAAAAAACTTGAATACAAAAACAGATGCATATACTCGCCTTGGGGATAAATGCGTTATGATACAGGGCGAAAGCCTGCTCCAGTTCTATTGAACACAAGGCAAAGCAGTCCCAGCGCAGCTGGAAGATTTCTGAACTGACGCCAGGCTGAAGGAGAGCAGCATTTGTCCTGGGGTTATCATCAGGCCCCTCACAATCACATTTCCACTTATTCCAAGTGAATGGGGACTTGTTGACAATTCCCTGGATTTCAATTTGGAAGAAAGAGTTTCATGTTTGACCTTGTATCTCCAACGCCATGTGTCTGCCTGCCTCACCCACACACTTTATATCAAACCTGTTCCCTTTTATTTAAGTTACATATGATGTAAGCTATAGTAGCAATGCCTTGCTCTTTTTTTCTGCTTTGTTTTTGGCTTAGACCATTATCAAGCAATCCCTGGTTTTAGTTTCTGCACTCACTTCACTGCTTTCATAAAACTGCCTTGACAAATTTGGATTACCAGTAAGGGGTGAACTTTCTCTCACCCTCAGCTGCTCCAATCTGAATTTTTAAAATCCCTTTAGACTGCGCAAATGCAGAAGATATCACTGACTATTTTCAAACAGATCAAAGATTTTTCATACATAAATACTCAAAAAGCCAGAGTTTTATCTGAACCTAATCCAAATGCTCTGAATACTTCTGAAGGCCTCACAAGTATGACAATACCTTTCTTACCTTCACTAGGAGGAGGGGACAATTCCTGGCAGTGGCAATAGCATTGCTCACAACAAGCTAATGTGTGCTTTCTTCAGCCACTGGTAGAAGACATCCCAGGGCTAAATATATTGGTATCTGTTTAGAATCTAAAGTAACTCACAGTGACAGAGGCCACACATGGGTGGTGTGTAGTACCCAGCTGAAGCAGTGACTGTCCCTCAATATCTTGTTCGTAAAACAAAATTTTATGTTCTAATAAGACATTTAAAAATCTATCATCTCTAACGTGTCCTCAAAGTCAGGAGGATTACAAGTGAGAGAAAGACATTACCAAGATATCAGCTGGTTATTAAGTTCCCCTGGAAGGCATTAGGAGAGTCTAAAACACAGTACCTGAGTAAGACAACATATAGCTCGGAATGAAGGGCTACCTTGACAAGAAGCAACCTAGGAAGTTTTGACTCTTTTTTTTGTGTGTGTGATTAGTTGAGGTTTTTTTCATCACGTTTCAGACACCCCCTCACCCCTACCTCTGCAAAGAAAAGGGAAAAAAAAAACCTAACGTGTCCTCAAAGTCAGGAGGATTACAAGTGAGAGAAAGACATTACCAAGATATCAGCTGGTTATTAAGTTCCCCTGGAAGGCATTAGGAGAGTCTAAAACACAGTACCTGAGTAAGACAACATATAGCTCGGAATGAAGGGCTACCTTGACAAGAAGCAACCTAGGAAGTTTTGACTCTTTTTTTTGTGTGTGTGATTAGTTGAGGTTTTTTTCATCACGTTTCAGACACCCCCTCACCCCTACCTCTGCAAAGAAAAGGGAAAAAAAAAAAACCACCAAGTTATTTCAACGTAAGCATGTTAAATAACTGGCATCTTTCCTGAAATCTTGTAGAATGAATTGCAGCTCTACACAATTAAGTCAGCTGGGTTATAGTATCCTGCAAAATTAGACATCTATAATGGGAGCGTTGACAAGACCTTCACTGTAGCAACACAGTGGTGCCCACTCAGAGAACGGAGCAAAGCTCTTGGGAAATAATTAAAGAACATTTTGGTCAGCTTGTGATGTGCATATGAATTTTTCAGGTCATGCAGAAATAAACTGGAAACCCACAGACCATCAGCAAAAAAGAGTAAAGTAACGAGACTGACTGATGTTAGTCCAAATCAGCCTGAAAGGAAAAGGCTGGGAGGAAAGAGGACAGGACAGTTTCTGTGGTTCAGAAAAATACCTCTCTCTTCTCTATCTTTCTAATTTATTTTTGTAGTCAGATGATGGAGACAAAAATAACCCACCTTTTTATAAATCCTAAGTCCTCCTTCATCTGGCAAATGACACCAATTATGACTATTATTACTATTTCAGAATCTTGTTAGAGAACAGCATTTGCATAGTCGTGTTATTTTTCACTCGTCTGTGGCTATATTCTGTGTCAAGCTAAGCTCTTCTTGTTCCCTTTTAACGGTGCTACACATAGTAGAGTATGTTCATTACATAGACCATTTCCAATTCCAATTACTGTGCATTAAATTCAAGCAATTTCAGTTAAATCAGTAGAGACCACCTAGATTTAAACAGGTCCATCCGACACAAGAATACAACTTCATACTGTAATATAGCTCCTCAAGTTCACTAATGACTGAATGATATTTAGAAAAGCACTTGTCTAGCTAAGTGTACTAATTCCCAAATGAAATACATCCTATTTTGTGGTGACTTGATGAAATAATGATGGTCAGTGATAATACTGAAAAACTATATCCAAGACTTAACATTCTCATGCATACCTTTTATACTTAGCTAGCTCAATACTTTCAAGTGTTCTTCAACTGTTATTTTTTTGCTTCAAGAAGCAAATGTAGTGCATAAATACCAAGGGAAAGAAAATATTTTAAAATTGATTAATTAATTGTTGATATGTATCTAACAAAGCAATCTTTTGGTTCTTTTGTCAACATGGTAAATTTAGGATGTAGCTGGCCTTCAAGGGGACATTCTGGATAAGAAAACAGTCAAAATCAAGACTTGAAAAACTAAATTACATAAACTACAGGGAGGAGTCAAGTCACAAGAGCTCTTTTTTCTCTCCCTTATGAGTCCTCCTCATACAGCCATAATTCACTAAAGGAGTGTTTTGAGCAGTTCCCCAGCTGCAAGCCTTTGGACAGAATGAATGGGTGAAGGAAACAACTAGCCCATACATGGTGGTCTACTCCTATTCAAAGGTACAAGCCTGAAAAATTGAAAGATGTGAAGCAGAGACAGCCATCAGCCATGAAGAAGACAGACATGTTTGAATCACTTTTATCACTTTTTGTATACACTGATGTTTAAAACAGTATTGTTTAATGACAGCATCTTCTCTAACGTACCCTGGAGTCCCTAATTAGTGCTTACGCCACTGGAAGGAATTAATAAATTTTTAAATAATTTCCACAGCTAAATGAGGGAATCCCATATTCCCAGTGTTAGCTGCATGAGCATTCTTGCAGTTGCTTCTGGATTGAGTTCCCTGATGCAGCAAGTTTCCTATTTCATGAGTTATTGTGAGAGAAAATCATGTGCTAAAGGTGTAACCCAGCAATGAATCAGTAAATAGCTGTTCTTCTGAAGATCAGCTCATTAAGAAGCAGACATCTGAATGAAATAAAGTTCCTGGGGAGTCTGTGGCACCAGATGTGCCAGAAAGGGAGGCATGAAACCTTGTTATATGCCATGACCAAGCAAAAGGAATTTTTACCTAGGTAGAATTTGTGGTTAATATTCTGCTCTTGTGCTTTGCTTATTGAAGCCCCAGCGTGCTTTTGTTTATGATCTGGTTCTTGTTCAGCACATTTACGTGCAACTGACTGCTCAAGTGGCTCAGTCACCTCGGGTGCAAAACGGAGCTAAGCTGAAATGCTGAAAGCTGGAGCTTTGTTTGCAACATGAAGAAAACCCAAACAAAAATATCAGAACTAATTGTTGGACTTTTTTTGCTTTGACAAAAGCCTTAATGATAGCTTCCTTATTCAATAGAATAGTTTTGTATGGATATATTACAACTAGTTAAAAGACTCCAAGATTATTCAGGTTTTACTTAAGTTTGTTAATCAGAGATAGCTGGCTGACACAGCATTTGTTTAACTTAGCAATACAAAGCAATATTCACAGCTTACATTAAATACTTCACATGCCAATCTCCAATCATGATATAAAAAGACCACAGAAAAATTAAATAATCTTAACTCCCTTAGCCAATTTCTTGGACAAGAAGAGCAGGCTCTGTTAAGACATATGGCAAGCAATCTTTTCTGCAACACAACAAACTAAAACCCAGCACTACTACCACGTGTTAAGAGATGCTATCCTTTTGCACAATATATTTCAAAACACACTCTCTCCACAAGCAGCAGGTCCACAACCTGAACAGTCGCACTAGGGTTCTAACACATAATGTGACTACAATGAATTGAAAGGAAGGGGAAAAAGGCAGGAAAGGGGGTGAAATACCATGAATTAAAATCGCAATTTCCAAAAAAAAATTTTTAATTGCTAACTTGTAAGTTGGAATCTTGTGAAATGTGACAAATAAGGAAATAATTGAGCATGCTTTGCTGCACTCAGATGCATCTCTGCCAACATACACTAAGGAGAAATAGGTGTCAGAATTAAGTTTGGTTGAATTAAGCACCCATTCTAGTTTGAGTAAGGAATGAAGCCGTGGATTTAGTTGCTGTAAGTCTTCCAAGGTTTGGGCTTTTTTCTTATTTCATGGCTCTACTACCTAATTATCCTGTTGTGATATATTCATACTATATGTATTATTTTTGTGCCCAGCACAAAAATCTGTAGAAGCCACTATATATTCGTATTTGGTGTTCATAGCAGACATTATCCAACAAGTGAATGAACAGACTAAAATTTCAAATAACAATATTTTTTTCTGGACCAAATTCTCTGCTACGGTTATGATATTTATGATAATCCTGGCTTCACACGAGCAGGCTGAAGGAGGTGTGTGGGGGAATCCACTGGAGACAGAATGGCAGCGCAATGGTACAGTGATCTATTTGTTAATATTTTCCTATTGCATATTTGAAAAGGTCAGACCCAAATAAAACTGCCAAGATACGATATTCCTCTGAGAGGAAGAACATGGTTTATGTGTCTCAGCTTTGCCAAAAAACTATGGAAACCAATGCTTCATTTTGTGAATAAAGATGTAGGCACAAATACTGCCTCAAGCAGGGTGAAGACCACCCTTGGGCAGAAGTGTTTAGGAGCTGCAGTGGTGAAAGGTTGGGGGTGTGCTTTGTTTTGCAGAACATTTGGGTGTGTATAACAGGCCTGTCTAAACAGAATTGGTGTGTCTGATGGCTGATCCAATATTCCAAGGAGGTCCTCTATTCAGAACTTGTTTTCCTTCCACACTTACCCTACTTTGTGTATTGTGCTAGATTATACTGGTTTCATAAGTGGCAGTCACAGTTACTGTCCATCTGGATATGTTTTGAGGCTCTATAAAGTTTTAACAACTGTGAAGGGGGGAAAATACTGAAGTATGCAGCCAGTCTGAAGTGGTTATCTGGAGATTTAACCTACTGTCTCCAGGAATGCACAAAGCACGCTTCATAGTCAGTGTAAAATGTATTCAGATCTGTAGCCTTAATAAGTATTCTCTTATGCCAGAAGTGTTCTCTTATGAGATAAGAGATTATCTCTTTGTATCTGTAACCTCTTAATGAATGAAAACAGATATAATTATAATATCAAAATCATACTGACACATCTCTACACATTCAATCTTGATTCAGGGCATGTATAAATGAATCAGATACTGGCTTAACTCTTGCACTTGTCCTATTGCTTGCTTTTTAATAAGGAGATTTTATGCTTTTCAATATCCCTTAATAAGATTTTGGTTAGCTATAATTTATTCTCATGCTATTCATTATGGAATGCCAATCAGTTCTCAAAATGCTTGTACATGCTTGTCATGTTTTTTCACATTTAAAAAGCCCTCTTTTCTGTTTTGGATTTTTCAGTGCTTAATAATTCTTTTTTTTTCTAAAAAAAAAAAAAAAAAAAAAAAAATAAAAAAAAAAAAAAAAAAAAAAAGAAAAACAGCGAGGGGACATAGTAAATCTTAAAATATAGCTACTGAAAGAAAGGAAATAAGCCCTTCGAAATCGCGGGGGAAGGGCT